AAAACGATCTTCGAGTTTTATAAAACGATCTTAGAGTTTTATAAAACGGCTTCTCGAGTTTTATAAAACGATCTTTGAGTTTTATAAAACGGCTTCTCGAGTTTTATAAAACGATCTTCGAGTTTTATAAAACGGCTTCTCGAGTTTTATAAAACGGCTTCTCGAGTTTTATAAAACGGCTTCTCGAGTTTTATAAAACGGCTTCTCAAGTTTTATAAAACGGCTTCTCGAGTTTTATAAAACGGCTTCTCGAGTTTTATAAAACGGCTTCTCGAGTTTTATAAAACGGTCTTCGAGTTTTATAAAACGGCTTCTTGAGTTTTATAAAACGATCTTCGAGTTTTATAAAACGATCTTTGAGCTTTATAAAACGGCTTCTTGAGTTTTATAAAAAGATCTTCGAGTTTTATAAAACGGCTTCTCGAGTTTTATAAAACGATCTTTAAGTTTTATAAAACGATTTTTAAGTTTTATAAAACGGCTTCTCGAGTTTTATAAAACGATCTTCGAGTTTTATAAAACGGCTTCTTGAGTTTTATAAAACGACCTTCGAGTTTTATAAAATGGCTTCTTGAGTTTTATAAAACGACTTCTCGAGTTTTATAAAACGATCTTCGAGTTTTATAAAACGGCTTCTCGAGTTTTATAAAACGATCTTCGAGTTTTATAAAATGTCTTCTCGAGTTTTAGAAAACGATCTGCGAGTTTTATAAATGACTTTGAGTTTTATAAAACGACTTCTCGGGTTTTATAAAACTATTCTCTTTGTATTTTTGCGGGGAGTTTTGGCTATTGATTCTGTCGTACCGATTTTGACCCCAACAATTGGAAGTTGATGCTAGCGCGGCGAGGGCATTTGCTGACGTATTTTCGTCTCAAGATATTTTCGTGAGTTCGAATTCATCGAATTTCTCTGTGATTTCTCGCAAGACTTCGAGGTAGGCTTTCACTCTTTCGTTTTTGGCTTCGTATTCTTCGTGGAATTGGCTTGTGACCAATTGTGAGTCGCTGAAAGCACTTATTTCTTAGGCGCCGATGCTTCGAGCGAGTCGTAATCCGGCAATTATGGATTCGTACTCAGCTTCGTTATTCGAGGCGTTGAATACCAGACGGAACGATTATTCGATTATATCTCCGGTTGGGGATTCGAGCTGTATTCTGATCTCTGATCTCTGTTTTGAAGATGCTCCATCGACATGTAATTTCCACTTTTTCGAGTTAGAGTTCGAACCAGCCTCTTTAAGGGCGAGCTCGATGACGAAGTCGGCCAAAACTTGGGCTTTCAAACTCGTCAAGGGTTTGTATTCGATATCGTACTCGCTTTGTTCGATCGCCCATTTTGTTAATCTTCCCGATTGGCTCGGACTGTGAAGAATGGTCCGTAATTGCTGTGACATTATTACTATGATCGAGTGTGACTCAAAGTACAGCCTTAACTTTATTGCGGCCGTAACAACCACTAAGGCTAATTTTTTCCATCGTGGGATATCTTGTTTCGGTATCGATCATAGATCTGCTGGTATAATATATCGGTTTTTGTTCGTCGCTATCTTCCGGATTAGCATGCTGTTGACCGCGTGTTCCGAAGTAGCTACATATAGGAACATTGTTTTGCCTTCGATTGGTTTCGATAATACTGGAGGCTGGCTTATATATGCTTTGAGTTCTTTTAGTGCGACATCGAATTCTTCGTTCCATTCAAAACATTTGTTCCCTTTTAGGAGCTTGTAAAATGGAAGGCACCTATCGGTCGATCTCGAGATAAAGCGATTTAACGCTGCGGTGAGTCGTTGTACTTATCGGATGGACTTTGGTGGTAAAGTGTCTACGAGTTATGTGATGTGTTTCAGATTAGCTTTGATTCCCCTTCCAGTTACCAGATACCTGAGGAATTCTACTGAAGCTACCCCGAAAGTAGACTTGGTCGGGTTTAGTTTCATTCTGAACTTGTTAAGGATGTTGATACATTCCTGGAGCTGGGGGATGTGATCGCTCACTTTGAGGACTTGACGAGCATGTAGTCTCTGTAAACCTCCATTTTTCTACTGATCTGGTCGGCGAACATTTTGTTCACTAGTCGTTGGTAGGTAGCTCTTGGGTTCATTAGTTTGAAAAGCATTACTTTATAACAATAAGTGCCACGTTCGGTGATAAAAATCGTTTTCTCTTGGTCTTCGGGGTTCATGAGGATCTGGTTGTAACTGAAGAATGCGTCCATAAACGATAATATTTCGTGTCTGCCCGTGGCTTCTACCAGACGATCAAAGTTTCTTTCCGGGTTGGGATCTCCTTAGTGATGGAAACTTTTCTTTCAGTTTCTATCGGCTGTTGAGTTTTAGGAGACATAATTGCTTCTCCGAGTGGAGATCTCCTCTTTGATGGGCCGTTAGTATTGCTGCTAGATGATCGTGTTTTCTCTGGTGACGCCACGGTGTCGGATCTTGATGAGTCGCGATCGGCCGCTTTTCTTTTGGGACAACTGTATTGAGTCCGGTTCAGATCCATAATCGTGCTTAGAAATCCTAGATCGGATTCTCAGCAAGGGCGTTTTTCGTTTATTTTCCCCACAGTCGGCGCCAAAATGTAGATCCAAAATTCACACTAAGTATTTTGTAATGATTAAGAGTTAAATCTAGGGAAGACAAATGATGTGGGTAACGATACTCTTAGAACACAACGATACAATCAGAATTCGGTTGACAAAAATGGACTTTATTGAGTATAAGGTTTGGTACAAAATGATAATCAAGATCGAGAACAACAAAGAGAGATCGAAGCTATATGTGAACTAAAGATTAAGAAGTGAGGTCAATGAGAGTAGTGGTTTGCTCTAGGGTTTTCCATGTGTCTTATACTCTGCTCTAGCTCACCTTTTATAGTCTTCTTCTTCTCTAACTGCTCCCGCGATCTTCAGAGTAGTTGTTCGACCTTGTCGTGCTCGATTTGAGTCAAATTGATGGTGATAGCGTATGGGCCTGAACTTCTTACGGACATTGGATCCAGCATTTTTCTTTTATTTTACTCTATGGGCTCTTCGCGGGCTCGTTTGCTCGATAGTTATCTTTCTCACGTGATGGATTTCGTATTTCCGAAATTAATGAGCCCGATTTTGGGCATAACAACCTCCTCCGTCCCATTTTAAGAAATTTTTAAAATTGGATCGGGATTGGATATAACACATTGGTTTCGGTCTGGATTCGGATTATACTGAAGTTACCGAATATCATTTGTGTTTGAGTTTTACTGTATTGATTTCAGATTATCTGAAGTAAAATTCAAATAAAACAAATAAACATAAGACACTTGTAACTTCAATTTAGTAGTAATAGTAAAAATGTTTGCAAATTGATCACACTGACAAGTGAAATATGAAAACTCACATAATATAGAATCGTAGAAACACAAACTTTGTTAAGTAAGATGAACTGATAAGAACTAAGAAACATGTCTCTCAAACTTAATAAAACTCAAACTTAGTAAAAATGTTTGCAACAACACACCAATACCGATAAAAGCAACATAAAGTTTTAAATTTAAAAACAAACTGAAAGTTTCAAGGTCACAAGCCGTGAAAAAAAAAACAGAAGAAAACATAAAACATGGACTACAACATAAACTGAAACCAGCTTGTGGCGAAGGAACTTGGTAATATTCAGGAAGAACTTAGTACTGAGAAGCCATCAATTCTTCTGATCAAAAGACAAAGAAAGACAGATCAACAAACAAACCAAATTTAAGTAAATATGTTAAGTAAGAGACAACTTCTGCCAAGTTATAATCCGTCTTCACTTTCATCATCCGTGAAACAAGAAACAACTGAGATATTCGTCTGCACACCCTTCGTAGAGAGGAAACCTGCATTGCAAGGACATCCTTTGCCATCTGTGACATTATTGGGAACTTAGTACAATTTCTCTTCCATAAAGATAGAACATCGTACTCTAAACCAGCCATCAAATCTGGATTCTCAACTCCTTCTTTGAAGTACACATCCAATTCATCCCGCTTCTCTTTCACTTCAGTCTCCTTTACCGTTGACTTGTACCTTCTGTGAATCCTCTTATACCCTATACCATCATCAACTAAATCAAGGTTTATCATCGAGAGTTCTCGAAAATACTGAGATGATTGAGTGTTACTGGTAGTAGCTTGATCAGTCTGCCCACCTGATGCTCTCCCATGTCTTTCACTGTACTCTTTAAACAAACTCTGCAACAAACTCATCACATAATCATGCATCTCTTTCCCTTGCAATCTGTGCACCTCATAAATCTCTTCAAAACACATGGTCGCAAGCACCATCTTCTTTGTTGGATCAAAAACCATTGCAACAATTAACATCTTGTTAATGTTCTTCAGTCCATCCCAATACTTGTTAAACTTCTTAAACATTTTCACTGCCTTATCCTTCGGTTCATGATCCATGCTTTCGCTCAATGCCATGAGGTTAGTGGCTATTGTCACAATCTCTTTGTAACATTTGTAAGAGTTGAGAGATGTAGACGCAGACATAACTAAGGTGGAGTTGTAGAAGATCACTAGAATCCTGCATAATCTTTTATGGATTTCTAGTCATTGTACAGTGGAGGTTCTTCCTTCTTTTTTCCTTTCTCCACCTCCAAAATTAATCGTTGTAAAGCTTATCTTCTGCCTCCATTTTATCAAACGAAACTCTGAACTTTTGACTATGTTCATGTGAATTATGTCCCAACCAGAGATGAAGCACAAGGAGAGTGATATATTACGAACTTGCAAGGAAAGATCTCTTCATATGAATGAAAGATCTGTGGCTGACAAAAAAAACCTAAGTCTACTCGACAAAAATCTTAGCTTCTTTACTCTTTTTAAGTATGTTTGACTAAAGTTTATTTGATTACTCTTTCTAAGTATGTTTGACTAAGTTTATACGGTCAACTATATATCTAAACAAACTAAGAGTTGGATAGACTTGTTCCCTATTTGTCATGCAATTAAAAATAGAACGCCTTTGTTCAAACATGTCATGAACTTAGTAACTCCTGCCCCCTAAATAAGTCACCTTCTTTGCATGTTGTGGGTCTCTCAAGTGCTACCAACATGAACTCAAAACTACAATAGTTTTCAGTCAAAATATCAAATCAAAAGCAAAATGAATTTTACACTTATTACTTATTAGTAACTCCTGCCCCAATAGGTCCATTTTTTCGCAGGCTTTCAGATGCAAATAAGAGCGTACATGCACCAAACAACAATGTTAAATGACAATTACAATTACCAACAGAGGTTTCTGAAGAGAAAGTTTCTATCTTTCTTGCCTTCAGGGAGTTCTGGCTGTTCAAATGGAGAACACAGGGTTCTAGCTGCTCCAGTTTCACCTATAGTAGTAGTTCGTGCCTTGACATCTTTCTCCACTTCCTGCCAAAAAAAATTGATTTCAAGGGGGATGAAAGTTGCATTGTCTCTCACAGTTGATATTCCATAAAAGCTACGAAGAACAAAGAGTTTTCTTTTTGTTGTAACTCACCTTTTCATCGCACCAGGGAGCTAAGGTGAGAGCTTCATCAAATTCATCCCAAGTCCTAATTACTTGAACACATGCTTCCCTCTTTCGCGTCGCCACTTCATACATGTTTTGCTGGATCTACTCGAGCACTTCCTTAACTTGTTCGACTAAGCAGCTATCGCTTGGGATATCTTCCTTAACACCACCGTTGTCCCGCCTCACAGTTCTGTCTCGGAGACCAATCGCAATTCTAAGAGGGACACCCTTTGTTTCCCAGTTTGAAATACTTCCATTCAGGAGAGTAGTTGTCTTTTAAATCTTCTTTAGCACGGATACCGGCTTCACACAAGGCAGATACGGTCGCAGTACAAGCATCATAAATTCTTTGGGTATTATTAGCATAGTCGTTGGGTACGGGGACTACAACAACTTGCACAGAAGCGACTTTAGGAGGATGTACCAGGCCTTTGTCATCTCCATGAGTCATGATCATCACTCCAATCTATGTAATGTAACAAGTTGAAAAGTTAACAACCCCTGAGGAAGAATAACCTATAGGTAATAAAAAAATAACCTACCGTCCTGCAGGTACAGTAGGACCAAGAATTCTGCCACACCATTTTTGTCTTTCTTTTCTCATTCTTCTTATCCTCTTTCTCGTCCTCATAATTGATCCTAGACATCTCCGCAAAGTTTGTTCCCAAACAATGAGCGGTTGCACCTACTACACCACGACCCGTGTTTGGAATGAAAGCCTACAAAAGTAAAAGTTTTAATCCATAAAGAATAATAAATCCATGAGAAAAAGAGAGAAGTAAAATTACGTACCACTACACTTGTAGTGTAAAGCCCCCCAGCAAACTTCTCATTTTCACTCTTCATATATACCTTTCACAACTGGGACTGCGAGATACTCTTAATATATGCGACGATAAATAAAGCTCCAAAATTACAAGGACCTGAGAACAGAGTTGAAGCACTACTATAAATGTTATTGAACTGCTAAAATATTACCCTTGTTTGCAGCAAAATAAAAAAGAGGAGATAATGATTCGGATCACATGTAAAACTTTTATAAGTTGAGTTACCTCATCATCTGCTTCTTTTTTAGTGGCGAAAGCAGTATACCCTTCCTGCCAAAGGAATTCACGGCTTCTGCAGTAAAAATGTCAGGCAATGGGCTATATGTTATAGCAAAGAAACTTCTGTGTTTGAATCCATTCGAACCAGATATTTACGGCAGAAAACATAAGTAGCTAAAGAAAAAGGTATGATCAAGAAAAGTAGAAAGGAGTATAAGTACCGGGTAAATGGGATAGGGTTGCTGGACTCTCATCTAGCAACATTGCACCACTGGTTAAACTTTAAAGGCAAGTCACGGTGACCCCTTATCAACTTGCTGTAGTAAAGGACGGGGACATTACCGTCTCACTGGATGGACGAATAGCAAGTGGGATTTCCAAGTCAGATTTACCAAATTTTGTAACCCAAGCAACCTAAAACAAAACATTCAAATCTCTTAGACGAAGGAAAAAAGACTTTTAAGATACACACACACCTCTGATGCAAAACCCTCAATATGGTTCTCCTTGACACCAGGAGATAGAAAGAGAGGGATGTAGCAAGTCTTGACCTTCATTTTCTTGATCGCATCAAAGAACTACTACTACTGGGTACATTGAAATCAATGAGCAAACCTCTCATTTCTCACATAATCTATATATAATAGCAAACTTTCTATGTCATCATCATTTTTATAAGAAAACAAAATTGAATCCAATGGTCATAATTTACTTGATTTTTAAGATCTAATGGTCACAAAACATTTTTTGTAAGGAGTGTTGATGTCATCAAAGTTTTGGTAACTCTTTTTTCAACAGACATCTATTTCAAAGTACATATCTTTTTAAGAACCAGAATGATATCCTTTCATCATTGAACAATTATTTTTACCTTGAACAATTATTTCTTTTGAAACAGCATCTTTTATTGGGACGGTCATACTTTTTCCTAATTCATGTATTTAAAAAAAAAATCTATATATAATAACAAACCTCCTATAACATCATCATTTTTATAGGAAAAAAAAATCCAATGGTCATAATTTACTTGATTTTAACATCTAATGGACACAAAACACTTTTTGCAATGAGCGTTGATGTCATCAAATTTTTGATAACTCTTCTTTTAACAACATCTATTTCAACGCACATATCTTTTAAGAGCCACAATGATATCCTTTCATCCTTGAACAATTATTTCTGCCTTGAACGAGTATTTCTTTTGAAAAAACATATCTTTTAGTGGGAGTGTCATACTTTTTCATAATTCATGTATTTAAAAAAAAATGAAAAGTTACAATCTGATGATTCTAATTGTTACGTTTTTATCTAATGGTCCTAAAAAATGTGTACGACATAATACTTTTACTAAAAGCAATTTTTTTTGGAAACAACACATCTCTTTAAATGAAAGAGTCATTTTTTTTTTATATTTGAAGAGTTACAATCTGATTGTTATAACTTTTTTTTTTGTTTTTCATCTAATGGTCCTAATCAATGTTTTTAGACATATGGTCCTAAAAATATGTATGACATAAAATATTTTTTTCGTGAACAATTATTTTTTGAAACAATACATCTCTTTAAATGAAAGATTCATATTTTTTCATATTTGAAGAGTTACAATCTGATGATTCTAATTGTTTTGTTTTTCATTTAATGGTCCTAAGAAATATTTTTTTAGACATAAAATACTTTTGATTCGTGAGCCGTTATTTTTCAAACAACATATCTCTTTAATAGATCATACTTTTCCATAATTCCTATACTTTTTTAAAAATGGAAGAGTTTCAATCTGGTGGTTATAATTGTTCTATTTTTCATCTAATGGTCCAAAAAAAAATTTTTTTGTTACACATTTTTTTCCTTCAACTCCTCTTGAAAGTATTCCTTCTCTAACAAAACATACCTTTTGATAATCCATCTATGCACCTTTTCAGAATATTATAAACTCAACATTTTATATAATAGTAAACCTCCTATGATATCATCATTTTTTATAGGAAAATAAATTGAATCCAATGGTAATAATATATTTGATTTAAAAATAAATATATATCTATATATATATATATATATAACTCTTTTTTTTGTCTGGGTACTTATGCTATTATAAATTATGAGAAACATTACATAGACGATATTACAACTGACAATTCTACCTATCTTATGCGGATCACGTCTGATTGCATCACCCTGAGCGGTCCTATAAGATCCATTCCTGACGGTACTCCTTGCGCCATGCTGAAGATCTCTGGTAAGTCTTGTCTCTAATTTTTCTGCATAATTCACTTTCTTCTCCAGGAATTGAAACCTAGAAATTGCATAGTCTAAGGTTCGAACCCCAGACCTAGGTGTAGAATCCTTAATCCCTTGACCAGTAGGCCACGGTGATTCCACATAAATATATATAACTCTATAATAGAGGAATATTATTTCTTCCCCTGTGAAAGAATGGGCTGCCTTCGCCACTGGGTGAAGACCAAGAATTAACAACTAAGAGTTGTCTTGACACTATACTAGTGGATCTGACCACTAACTGTGACGGCCAAAAGTTAACTCTAGAAAGGTGACAGCCAAGAGTTAACTCTAAACAATAAGACACTATATTAGTGGATTTGACCACTAAAGTGTCCTATTTTGCTTAATCTAAATCATGTGGATGAAAATGAAAACAAACAAAATATACAAGTGAGTCGTTGCTTGCGTGATTGTGGTATTCAAACTAAGTGTTTAGACAACATTGTAATAGCTTTCCTCCTTACTCACAATTTGAAGACCCCTTATAAAAGCAATGCCTCCTGACATGTGTTTCCATGACTAGCATCAGATTTAATGGTTGAGGATTTTCAAATGTTCACTGAAGAAAAATCCTACCTCTTAATTTTTTTCAATAACAGCAAGATTTCAGAATAATTTATAAAAATGTCAAGTTCAACAACAACGGATTTTAAATGAATTTTAAAAATTCATGTTTGAAAACAGTGGATTTGTCATTTTAATACAAATTACCAAAAATTCTTAGTTAAATATATCTCATAGGTTTATGTTTTTGTGAATAGCATTTAATTATGATTTATGAAGATAACAACACTAATACTTTATTTATCATATTTTTGTTTAGTTAATAAAATAATGTGTGAATCAAGAAATATCCAAGCAAACAATCTTATGTAGTTTATTCTTTATATTAATAACATGAATATGCTAAATCTGAGGGCAATTTGAAATATGTAGATGAAGAAAATGATCACTCACTTCTGATCATACGGGAACAGGCCCATACTTTCTGTAGGAGAGGAATTGAACATTCCTCCACAAGGCCCATCCAACAACAGGCTTCAGCCCACTCGTTGACAGTTCGATCGAAATAGGAAATAAACCCGAAGGTCGGACGACCGGTTTGCCTCAATAACCGGTCGACCATCGAATTGAATCCGGTTCTACGATTAACGCAGGCCCAAAGCCCATCAAGCATGGAACCGACTCACGGGCCTTTCAAACGACCTTTAGGGTGAACGAGACGTGAGATGAGCACAAAAATATAAAAGGACAACAGAGGGCAAAGAGAAGGGGGTCCGCAAATTACTACAAGAACTCTGACGGCAAGGTTTAGGGTTTTACGATCAATCGAACCTCCTTGTAATCTGGTCGGACTTTCATAAAGCTCCGACCTTTGTTCTTTTCTCGAATCTTTCTGTAATCTCCTCTTAATATCAACTCTGATTAATAAAACGCCTTCGAAGAACCCACAAATCGAGTTTAGTTTTCTAGTCAATCGACCGTACAAAACTCAGATTCAACATTTGGCGCCCACCGTGGGGACTTACGAAGTAGCGTTAACGAAATCAGTATGCCTCCTGACGACTCTCAAACTGACGACGCACCGGCGCAGGGACCAGTCGCTGTGACTCCGGCGGCCGACGACATGATGCAGCGCATCATGAACCAACTCCAACGGCAAGAGGAAACCAACAGAGTCATGAACGAACGATTGACCGCACTTGCTGCTGCTCTTGCCGCGACAGACGGTGACGCCGGAGACACGGAAACGGCGAGACGTCGACTACTTTTCACCTCAACGAACCCGACGCCCGCCGGAGCCGGTCCTGCAGTCGATCGTGCGGATACAGTTGGTGGTGCGGCTAATGAAACCGACCTTACTGGTCAAACGACCGACGGACTGGACGCAGCCACCAAGTCCCAGATCGAGGAGTTGAGAAAATCGATGAAAGACATTCACTCTAAGATACACCATGTCACAACGTCCGCCCCAGAAATCGAACGCGTCCTCGCTACCACGCTAAAAAACCCATTCACGAAGCGGATTACGGATACCAAAATCAAGAAAATTAACAAGCTCCGTCTCCCGACATACGCCGGCGAAACAGATCCGACGGACCATGTGACAGCGTTCAACATAGCGATGGGCAGGACGAACTTCTCCGACGAGGAGAAAGATGCGGGCTTCTGCCAACTTTTCATCGAAAGCCTCTCTGGACCGGCGTTAACCTGGTTCTCGCGACTGACCGAAAGGTCGATCGATAACTTCCACGACCTCTCAGCGCAGTTTCTGAAACACTACATTATGTTCACTCGACAAGAAACGACCTCAGCAGACTTGTGGAAGATGTCGCAATCGGCCTCCGAAAGCCTTAAGGATTTCATGGAAAAATTCAAGAAGGTGGTGACACAGATCGAGATCCCCGACCAAACAGCCGTCGAAGCTCTACGAAATGCGTTGTGGATACACTCCAAATTTCNAGGTCACCCCGAACCCAGGCAGCACGCATCCTACAACAAACCGGATAAAAAGAAAGGCCTCGTCAACGCCATCCCAGATGAAAAACAGCCGGACCCGGCATTAGCCGTTCGCGGACAGCGGAGCAACAAATGGACATTGGAAGTCGACGGAAAAAAGCAGGCCGCCCGAACGAATCCGGCCAACAGTGCGTACGACGCAGCCAAGTGGTGCAGATACCACAAAGCGTACGGACACGAGACTAAGGAATGCAATCATCTCAAAAACTTCCTCATGACGAGTTTCGTCGAGAAGCACGCTCATCCTGAACCTCCGAAGCAACAGCCCGACGCGAGTGCAAAAGGCACGGGAAAGAGCAAAGACAGGAAGAGTAACGATCGCAGCAACTCGGCCGATCGATCTCCCCCGAAGGAAGATATCACCCCTTCGAACGAAGATGAATCTGGATCTGACGAGGAGAAACCCACATCCCGCCGGAAGATCTTCACAATCAGGACGACTCCTGCGCTCTCCCTGACGGACGATACATCGGCAAAGGAAGGACAATCTGACTCATCTACCTCGGAGAACACGCAGGAGGACGACTTCAGGTTACAACACGATCTGCGCGACTCTCTCAAACGGAAGAACGCAAAGCTGAACATTGAACCTCCTCCCGAAAACCCGCAGCGGACGATCGCAACTTCAAAAATCAGGAAACTGAATACGCTGGACGCCCGCCATCGCCTGGACGCTAAGAAGCATGACCTACGATCAATAATCAACTCGCGTGTTGGCGACTTGCGCAGCCAGCTCAATCGATCGGCCGGAGCCAAG